AAAACAAAATTATCTGTTCAATATCATATAGTGTTAAACTGAAAACTGGTTTCAAGAATCACTATCATAAACACAATCATAATGAATGAATCATAATGTGAGTTTTGCCACAAATGTTTAATTGCTGGTTAAATGAGTTGAGTGACACTGATGCGAGTGCTGTCCCTTCATAAAGCAAGTGAGAACCTTTGACTTCACTGACACTCTTTGGCTCTTTACATGTACGATATATCGAGCTGTTATATGAACTCATGCTTAATTATATGAATATGCATGAGAGCATCTCCTAATTAGATTGAGATATGCTCTTTATGTATAACTAATTATAGTATAATTAGCCCTACATTAGTTGAACTGTCTTGCTGAAGTAAAGAAATGCATCATTAAAGTTATATATATAAATCTGCATTAACAGACTGAGAGTATAATATTGTATAAGTTTCTGCTCAAGTTCATCATAATTTGCTGCTTTTCTATTACTTGAGGTCAAATGCATCATTTGTGACAAAATTTACAATAAAAATAAAAGAATGCATATGATAAAAAGCTTCTGAACTAAGCTTGGGCACACCAGTAAGAAGTCTTTGCACATGAAAGTGATAATAATTTAGTTACTGCCTTGTTTACTAGACTGTCGCTATGCCATTATATATAATCTGCAGTGTTAATTAAAGATTGTTTGACTTTGGCATTGTTGTGTCCCTACTGTAAAACAGATGGCTTTGTTGTCTATGGGTGTTTGCATTAAAAAAAAAAAAATTTTTTTTATCAGAATTATGCAGTGGCAATTAAAGTCTCATTAAAGACTGCATTAATTCAGCAGCATAGAAAGTGTCCACTTTCAAGCCTTTTATTTCTGTATAAAGTTTCTCTAAACACTGTCTGAATCTAATGCTCATTTCACTCTACTGCCATTATACAGCCTATTCTAGTTCTTTTTAACTGTAAAACATTTACATATGAAACACAAACAATTCACCAAACAATACAAATGACAGTAAACAAAAGGTTTTGGCCAACAGAAATGCCATTGTTGTTTATGTTCACTTGTTACAGCTATTACACATACTGTATGTGATGGTTTTTAGACAGTTTTGAGCTAGCTATTTGAAATCAATATGTACAACCAACTTCCTTGTGTGCCAACTTGCTCTAGTCTTAGAACATAATTTTTTAATTGTTTTGAGGCCCATTTATACAATCATACTGATTCAAGGGTTTCAAGAGATACACGAGTTTGCCATAATTATCAAACAACATCGTAGATCAGCTGAAATGATGTTTCCTCTGAAATATAGAAGAGATTTGGTGGTTTGAAAACCATCTGCTGCTGCAAGCTTTGTCATTCACAACGTTTATGGCACGTTACAGGTCATTCATGTTCTTACATTTGACATGCAATGCACTCATTTAGTGATTCTGTAGGTAATTTGTAGGCAGTGTTTTTTTTTTGTTTTTTTTGATAGGGTTAGGAAGGGCGTGTTTAGGCGTGTCTCTTCTTTCAATTACCTTTGTTTTAAAAAAATACCATAAACTATATATCATTTGACAGCTAAAACACTCAAGATCCATGCTCTGAGTTTTTTAAATCAATACACCAGAGAGGAAAGGGTTAACATAAATGCTGAAGGACCGGCCATTTAAACATGTACAAAGTGAACGGCAGTACTTACGTTTCATCGCCTATAGTTCTGGTCAGCTCGGACTAATCCAAGAAACACCAGCACACATTTCAAGATAAGAGTCCACTCTTCAAAATGCATCCCACTTTTTAATCCAAAACAACGAAAAAATAGGGGAAATAATGGAAGATCCTCCTTTGTTTACATGAGCGATTATTCGAAATTGAGATTTACACATCATCTGAAAGCTGAATAAATAAGCTTCCATTGATGTATGGTTTGTTAGGATCGGACAATATTTGGTCGAGATACAACTATTTGAAAATCTGGAATCTGAGGGTGCAAAAAAATCGAAATATTGAGAAAATCATCTTTAAAGTTGTTCAAATGAAGTTCTTAGCAATGCATATTACTAATCAAAAATTAAGTTTTGATATATTTATGGTAGGAAATTTACAAAATATCTTCATGGAACATGATCTTTACTTAATATCCTAATGATTTTTGTCATAAAAGAAAAATCAATAATTTTGACCCATACAATGTATTGTTGGCTATTGCTACAATTATACCCCAGCGACTCAAGACTGCTTTTCTGCTCCAGAGTCACATTTGTGTCCTCTATTATCACTGCATCCTTCCCCTGGTAATTTGGTGCCTTTACACGCTTCGTTTTGGTTACAATCGTCATTCATGTAAACAGTAACGCAGAGTCCGCTCTGAATATTTTGAGGCACTTTATTCTGAGGCACGTACTTACTCTGCTGATGGAGAAAAGTCTTCACTTATATTTCAAGTTGTCTAAGTTGTCTCGACGACACTCTTACCTTGAAACTCTCTCACTAACACCATTTGCTACCTTAACAACAGCTGCCAGCCCTGCTAGCAAATTTAGCGATCTGAACAAGCTCTCTCTGAGGAATTCATATAATTCTTTTCCCTCTTTGTTCTCGCAGAGGCTTGCCAGTCGACTAACACACCCAGGACCCTTATTCTGCTTGAGCGATTTTGACAGGTTATAACTTTGAAATGTGAAAGAGTGCAACCCTAGACAGGGCCAGCTGCCTCACATTGCTGTTTCCCTTTCAAAATGAATGTAATGTTAATTATCTCACCAACCAAAGCCAGAACAGGCTTTTTTGAAAAACTAATAGCTTTTCAATATTAATAAGCAGACCCCAGGAGCCTTTATAACTCAGAAGAAAGGTGTTTTGCAGTCTCTTTCTTCCTATGGTCACTTTGAATGACATAAATGATGTTATGGTAATTATTTGTGTTTCTTTAGGGTTAAGTCTATAGTTTAGAACTGAGCATGAGTTTATTATTCAGTGCCTTTGTTCAGAAAGCCATTATCTGGCCCATTCTGCTCTCTTTTTCTCAGATTCATCAGCATTTTTTAATGAAACCTTGATATTAAAGGAAGCAATATACAAGCCTTCTGGTAGAAGTCTCTGTTAGTTGCACCTGGATTATTACCAATGCAATATACAGCACTGTAGCGTATGCATCAAAGAAGATATTAATACCCCTTTTGCTTGCCCTCTTTTCTTTGGTATTCCCACTTGCTATGGGAACCACAGCTACAACACGGAGGCAAGGTGATTCTGGTATGACTTGAAACTAGGACACAGATTTTCGCTCATCTATCAATCCCTGCAAGATGATTTCTCTTGTATCTACCACTGCAGTGAACGTTTGCAGCACTACCAACACCTTCTCTTAGTTCAAACCCTCTTTACTGCTCATTTCACATGCTTTCTGTTTTGAAGAGGAAAACACGGAATATTCAGTTCACTAAAAGTAAAAAGCTTTTTAGACTTGACATTGCAGTCATACATTCAAAAGGAAGTGCAGTGAGAGGGTTACATTAACTTTAATTCTTTACTCAGCTATAAATAAAGCACATCTTAGTACTCTAAACATGGCAATCTCTGTTTTGTAGCAGCAGCAAGTGTCTGTGAACCCACACATCTTGCAGATCAACACCAATGTCACACATTTCTTTTTAAGTCATGTTCACTTGGGAATATGTGACATTGGGTTGATTTTATCCACCAGTAATGGACTGGAGTAAAGCCATTAGTGAAGAGTTTACATTTGCATGTGATTGTTGATTTCAAGGAGGTAATTCTGCTGCATGATCATTTGATTCAGGTAGCGCATACTCATGATTTATTTTGAAGCTAGAGTTATTTTACAGTATTTAACCCTTAGTTGTGTTAATGCACCTAATGCATTTGAATTACATCATTGCAATTACATACATTTTGCCACAACAAACTTAACAGCTAAAAACATGAATTTTGCAGTTACAATCAAGGTAACCTTGTGTTCAAGTGGTGGTCAAAAATGGGGTTTTATGGTACTAAGTTACATTTATGGAATAGATTGGTCAATTAAACTGTGGTAAATGCTTTGGTGCACAGACTTAAGTTTGGCCTCTTTTTAAAGAAGACACTTGGCAGATGTGAAGTGATTTCATGAAGTGAAAGTTTAAAAAAACTAAAGTAAAAAAAAAAGTTCTAGAAGTGTATTATGTAAAACGCACAGAAAGACTATATATATATAATTTTTTTTTTTCTAAAATAAGTTTTACTCTAAAACTGCAAAAAATATTTTAGTAATATTACTGCTTTTAGTAATATTTTGTTTGAGCGCAGTACCAAACTTTTCCACTAGATAAAAATTTACTTTCCATTTGTTTCCATTGCGGTCATTTTTGATCAAGAAGAATGCAAGTTTCTTTTTTATCAGGACAATTTAACCTTTTTGAATCACGTCCTTTATTTGTATTTATTCATTTATTTATTTATTTTGTTCACTTAATAAGTGCCAAAACCTTTACCAAGTTTCATACCATTCCGATGACGCAAAAAAAACTAAATTAATAATAATAATAAATAAATAAATAAATAAACACTTTTCGGTCAAAAAACGACTAAACAACACCAGAGGGTTAAACAGTAATATCTTGCACCCAGAGTACTTCAAGTGCTCTGTCCTTCATCTGGAGGTTTGGAAGAAGATAAAAAATAAAAAGAAAGTGTTACTGATTTTTTTTTCAGACAATGTATCAATTCAATTCAATTATGTCTAATTTTTCTTACTCCACTGATGAAACATTTTTTATATTTATACATTATACACTAGTGTGAGATTGGGAAAAGGATTGGTCAGGAAAGCGGTTTTCAAAATCCTTTTGTACACTTTACCTTGAAAGGAAATTACATAAAACATGGAGAAAAAGAAAAGACATAGGAATGTGAAGGAGTATGTTGGAAATAAATTACTCTGGTATGGACATGACTATATAATGAACAGGATGCTGGAGAAATAGTTGCTTATAGTGACTAACAGTAACACTCTCTGTGTGCGCAGGATCACGACCACTGCCGCCTGCATGATGGACTTGCGCAGATACCCGCTTGATGAGCAGAACTGCACGCTGGAAATCGAGAGCTGTGAGTGTCCCATGAGACTTTTTTCTTTCGTTCTCTGCATCAATTTTTCATATTCATCTGACATAAATGCATTGTATATAGTGCTTTTTTTTCTAGATTTTGTTATATTGCATCCTTATGCTACAATGATTCAAATTACTTTCCCCACCTCATTCTGCACTCCATAGCCCATAATGACAAAAGAAAATCCCAGGTTTGTGATAACCTTGCAAATTGCAAAAGATAAGGATTAAAAAACCCCCAGAAATATCACATTGCATAAGTATTCATACCCTCAACTCAGTACTTAGCTGAAGCACCTGCAGCAGCGATTACAGTCTTTTGCGTGTATAATAGGACAAGCTTTGCACACCTGGATTAGGGAGTTTTCTGTCATTATTCCCCACAGATCCTCTAAAGCTCAAGTTGAAGGGGGAGCGTTGGTGGACAGACATTTTCAGATCTCTTCAAAGATGTTTGATTGGGTTTAATTTTGTGCTCTGGCTGGGCCACTCAAGAACATTCAAAGAGTTGACACTAAGCCACTTGCATTATCTTGGCTGTGTGTTTAGTTTGAGATCCAGAGTGTTCTGCACCAAGTTTTCTGTATTTTGCAGTGTTCAGCTTTCCTTGACCATGACCAGTACCCCAGGGCCTGCCTCTGAAAAACACGTTTCTAAAACATGTTTCTCACAGTTTAAAAGTTCTTTAGGTGCTTTTTTGCAAATTCCAAGGGGCCTTTCATGTGTCTTCACTGAGAACATACTTTCCGTCTGGCCACTCTGTCATAAAGTGGAGTAATGCAGTGATGGTTCTTGGTTCTTGGTCAGCAGGAGACCAGCCTTTGGAAGATTTCTTGGTTGTTCCAAAGCTCTTCCATTTAAAAGATATGAAGGCCACTCTGCTCTTGGAAATCTTTAATGCAGTAGGTTTTGTACCCTTCCCCTGATCTGTGCCTCAGTCTCTGAGCTCTGCAGGGCTGTTCCTTTGACTTGGTTTTTGCTCTGATATGCATTTTCATCTGTTTGACCTTGAAAAGACAGGTGTGTGCCTTTCATGTCTAATAATCTGAATGCAGCAGATGAATTAGCTCCAGTCAAAGTGTAGAAACATCTCAAAGATGATCCAGAGAAATGGGATGCAACCTAACCAACCCTTTTCACTAAATTTCACTAAATTTCAAGACATAGCAATGTGATGTTTGCATTTTTTAAATTATTATTATTATTATTTTTGTATTTCTTCCCCCAATAAATTTGCAAAGTAATCTCAAATCTGATTTTTGCTTTATAAGTATGGGTTATGAGTGTTTTAGCATGAAGTTGCAACATGCTAAAATGTGAAAAAAGGGGGTTTGGATATTTTCACGAGGCACTGCATACATAGTATTTTCTGGAGAGGACGACTTTAATTTCCATGACATGTTGAGTCAGGTTTGACATCAATGATATCAAATGTCAATGGCTTTTGTGTGCATTGTAACTGACTGTGATACTCCAAGTTTGAAGTTTGCTGAAGTATCAACATATCCTCTCAACTGAGGAGGGAATGTCACCAGAGTAACATTTAGGAAAAGGATAAAAGGTCACAACAGCAATGTTTCCCTCACGAGAATCAGCTATGATCAGTGCTATTAAAGAATATAATCAGAGATGCACAGGTTTTTCAGTCTGGTTCTCATCAGAGCACCTAGAGATTTGGTTTGGTGCTCAAACTGCACATAGTGTGACCCATGAAATATAGCTATAAAAATAAAATAATTAATAATAGTAATAATAGTATTATTGCACTTTATTTAATTTTTAAAATAAAATTATAAACAAATTAATAAATATTTGTAATGTATTGTATTGTAAATAAATATTTATAACACTATTATATTTTAAAATAAAAAGTGAGTATTAAATACAAATACAATTACTTTATAGCACACTTAAAAAATACAATGCTAATACTTACATTTTCATTTTCTGTTATTTCTTTTCTTTCTTTTTTTAAATGAATTTTCATTATTTTCAAGTAATTATATGCGCTGTTGGTTTTAGCGCTGCCAAGTGAAGCACGTCAGTGAATGAAATGTCATAGTTTTGCGTTTTGCTCTGAAACTGGCAGCGCATAACCTAGATTTATGCTTTCAGTTGGAATGGAAATCTTACAGTATTACAGTTAGTTGAATTGGTTTAAATTTTATTTTTCTTATAGACGTTTTTCAGTTAATATTGGAGAGCATTTTTCGAGTGATGCTTTTTTATCAAATGGGGTTCCTCAGGGATCCATTCTGGCTCCCATTCTTTTTTCCATATACACGCTCCCACTTGGTTCTATCTTCAGGAAGTAGTAGATGGAGTCTGTCATTCCATCGTTATGCTGATGACGCCCAAGTTTATCTGCCTTTAAAATGAAATACAGACGGTCTGGACACTCTCATGGCCTGCTTGTCAGATGTAAAGGCCTGGTTGTCTCTAAACTTTCGGAATGAGAGTAAAGCAGAAATTATTGTTTTTGGACCTTCAGATTCAATTCACAGTCCCAAGATAAATCTTGATGGGCTGTCTTCTTGTGTGAAGACATTGGTGAAAAATCTGGGTTTTGTCTTTGATGAGTCTCTGAAATTTGATAAGCAGATAAACTTGGTGGTGAAATCATGCTTTTTTCAGTTGCGAATGCCATCAAAAGTAAAGTAATTTCTCTCTTTCAAAAAAAAAATTGAAAACGTATTCCATGCCTTTATTTCTTCCAGGCTGGATTACTGTAATTCTCTTTATGTTGGGATTAGCTAATCAGCTCTGTCCCTATTACAGTTAGTTCAAAATGCAGCAGCCAGACTGCTCACTGGTACTTGAAAACGGGACCACATCACTCCAATTTTACAATCTCTCCACTGGTTGCCAGTGCGCCACATTTTAAAATACTACTTATAGTGTATACATCTTTAAATGGTAAGGCTCCATCTTACCGTTCTGACCTATTGATCAAGCATTTTCCAACTAGATCACTTCTGTCATCTAACCAGAATTATTGGTTATTCCTAGGTCGAAGTATAAGTGTAGAGGTGACTGTGCCTTCTCTGTAGTTTCCTCCAGTCTCTGGAATGACTTACCCATCACAATCAGACTTGCTCCCTCAGTATCAGTTTTTAAGTCTAGTTTAAAAACGTATTTGTTCGGTAAGGCTTACAATCTGTATTAATGCTTTCCTGCCTTATGTTTTTATTGCTATTTTATTGTCTTTTGTCTAATTTTTTAAGTAAATGTGTTTTTGGGTTTTTATATTTTCTATTGCTGTAAAGCACATTGGACAACCATGAGTTGGGTGCTATATAAATAAAATTGCCATTAGTTGTTCTGAAACGGTGATTGTGCATTGACAGCTGTCAGCAATGTCGGTACGCAAATGAGTGATCAGAACTTATTTACCCAGGACATTTTTTTATTTTGGTTGTGCATGCTCACCTGCGCACCACTTATGTGCATCCCTGATTATCATTCCCTGATTGTACAATTGACCTCTAACAGACAAGGTAAGAATATAAGGATGCAAATACATAGCTTCAAGTATGAGATATTTCAAACAAATCAACTGCAGTGATCATTTTGATTTGGAATCATGACCAATTCAGATTGATTTTTTTTTCTTCTAGCAGAAACACAAGAGAGGTTTCTGAGAGCACAATGTGCGTGTAGAGAGAGCCAGCCGTACTCCACCATTACCTTAATTAGGATGACCTTCATCTCCATAAAGCCAGGAGATAAAGAGAGCTAGTCAGCATTCGTGCTACACAGCGCCATGAGCAGAAAAGGCCTAATCAAATCTAATTGCCACTATATATGTGGTATGCGCTGGGAAAGAGTGGAGATCCAGCAGGAATCCTCCAACGTCTGCTGTTACGTACGGCCCACTGGCTGCTGCCATTAAAGCAGAGAGACGGAAAGCTAAGAGCTGGAGGAGATCAGGAGAGGGCACGTGTTTACACTTGCTAATTGTGCTCTTGTGAACTCCAATACATTGGCTGCATTGAAGCTTAATGCTAAGACAGTGAAAAACGAACAAATCCTTCCTTGTTGTCAGTGGTTTCTCAGCTAAGAAAATTTTTTTCTTTCTTTGTTTTTTTTTTCCTGCAAGTGTTTTAATTGTGAAATGGCATTCTGTATTGACGTCCTGTCAGAAAGCATAATGTGTCTATAACCTCAAATCATCTGACAGTCCCATGAACTGTTATCTAATTGGTTTTGCTGTTTTTTTTTTCCCCCAAGCTCTTTCCAAGTTTCTCACAAGTTTCACTTTCTTTCACGCAAACTCCGCAGAGGATTGTGAGAACACAGCACCAGCTGTACACCACCTATAGCAATGCCAAGGTCATGGGCTCATTTCCCAGGGAGCACATATTGATGAATGTATACTGAATGCACTGTAAGTCTCTTTGCAAAAATGGTTAGTGGGGTCAGATGGCCAGGTCATCCTCTGAAGGGATTCCCGCAGTCTATTCATGCATAACACACACAAGACGGACTGAGCTAGCTGAATCATACAAGCTGGTGCTACACAACTTTCAGAGTGTGCAGGGTTTTACCGGTGTGCCTGCAGACACGTACCACAGTGAGCACTTACGAGTCTGAACACACAGGATCATAGGTTTTCTAGGTTAGTGGCATGAATAATGTGTCCTGCTCCATCATTTTGACCGATCAATAAATTTTTGAGTTTTTTACTTGCACTAAATAAAAAAAGTCTCTGCTTTCTAACAGTGTAATTTTTATGATTCTACTCCCAGCCATTGTCAAAATATCATCATTTAAAGGGTGGCTGTCATTAAAACTTGTTTAGAGAAAACAGTCTCTAAAGATTTCAAACAACTTTCCTGAGTTAAATTAGATGTTCAACATTTATTGTTGGAATTTCATAAGAAAACCTTTGAGTATTTTAAAGTAGAGACTTAAAAAATAAATAAATAAATAAGACTTAAGAGTCCAAGTTATAAAGTTATGCAAGTTATACCTTTTTATAACCACATTTCTCCACAAATTGATCATTGTAACATCCACATTATGATTAAATGTTCCACATATAATCACAGAGAGTTTTAGCACTTAGCAGGTATGCTAGATATCCACAAGCATAACTTTATTTTGTGGTTTGTTTAATTAGATTTATCAGTGTACTTATTACTTTTGTAAGAACAGGAATCTAGAGGTGTGACTTTCATTCATTCATTCATTCATCCATCCATCCATCCATCCATCCATCCATCCATCCATTCATTCATTCATATCTTTTTCCTGTACTGTGATCTTTTTCCAAATAACTGCTGCTTAACAGCATATAAACTGTGACTGACAGCTTCATAATCCATCCATCCATCCATCCATCCATCCATCCATCCATCCATCCATCCATCCATCCATCCATCCATCCATCCATCCATCCATCCATCCATCCATCCATCCATCCATCCATCCATCCATCCATCCATCCATCCATCCATACTTTCATTCATTCATTCATTCATCCATCCATCCATCCATCCATCCATCCATCCATCCATCCATCCATCCATCCATCCATCCATCCATCCATCCATTCATTCATTCATATCTTTTTCCTGTACTGTGATCTTTTTCCAAATAACTGCTGCTTAACAGCATATAAACTGTGACTGACAGCTTCATATTTTGGAGAACTGGTCAATATTTGTTAAAGCAGGCAGTTGTTGACCAGATTTCATGCTGATAGTAAAAAGTCTAGCCATGTGAGATCATGTGGCCAGTGGATTGATGGCAGTCCAGTTATACTGTGGCTCGCTGTGTGTTATAGACATCAAGTGCATTCATGGAGAAACCCCCCAAAAAGAAAGAATTTCTGACAGCTGTGAAGAAGTTAAGATCAGGTGTGCCTGACCACGCGCTGTCAGTCGTGTTGTGTCGTGTCGCGAGGCTGTCATTGAGCTCAGACGAGGGCCTGTGGGGTGGGATGACATTGATTTGACGGGAGTTAAACTGTATTGGAAAGGCATTGTGCTAGTGTTACAGCAACAGCTGTGTAACATCTAGCTTGTCCTAAAACACACATGGATGGAAATCTAGGCACCTCACAATTCTATTTAAATTCAGATACCAATCCAATACCATTCAGATATAAATCCAATACCATAACGATTCCTGATACAGCTCGATTTTTTTCAGTAAAGGCACTCGAATGTAGATCTCTGTCAAGTTTAGGTGATTTTGGGACAAACTCTGCTAGTAAATTTCACAAATACAAAGACGTGTCAAGTAACACACTGATTTAAATGTGAAATTATGAAGTAGAAAACTAAAATAGTATTTTCTTGTAAAACATACTACAATATTTTTTGCTTTATTTACAACGTCATAAAATATTATTTTTACAGTGTTAAAAAAAAGTATACTTCAAGTGGTAACACTTTAGTTTAGGGACCAGTTCTCACTATTAACTAGTTGCTTATTAGCATGTGTCACAGTGATGGACTTTTGGATGTGTTTCTCTCTGTTCCTCTTCTCCTGCCTTGTTAAGTTCCATTGCCCTAGTTTCTGTTCAGTCCTGATTTGTTTCTATGGTTATGATTTGCGGCAGTTACTCATTCATTAGTCTCCTTATTTATACTCCCTGTTCTGTTCAGTCATGGCCGGTTATTTTTGCTATACCGTTGTGTGTGCTACATTTGCTCCTGCAATTCTCCTGTGTGTATTCCTTGTGGATTTAATATTAAAATACTATTTTTGGATAATACTCCTTTTGTGCGCTTTAAATAGCACAACACATTACAGCATGCATATTACTAGCATATTGACTGTTTATTAATACTTATAAAGCACATATTAATGTCTTATTCTGCTTGAGCATATTTTAGACTCACTTTGAGGGTAAATCAAATAAGTTAAGATTAATGACACTGAACAAGGACAAGTACAATATGAAAAAAAAAAACAGGATTATAGCATGAAGGTGCATTGGCAATCACACTGTCAATTGCTGAAGAAAAGAAAAGAAAATAAGCACAGCACCTGAAACTGCCGACATGAATATCTCATGAATATTTAATAAGGCAGGCATTGGGACAATTTGGTTGTAGCTAAGCAACTAGCCATAACGTTTTACTCTATTAACTCACGTATATTAAAGCAGACTCTGAATCTTCAGCATCTGGGAACTTTTCCTTGTCTTTAAAATGATATTAAATTGAAAAACATATCATTCCCCAATATATTAACGAAGCTTTGCTCATTTCATTTTACATGGGAATTGGAAACAGGGAAATCCCCTCAAAAGGGCATGAACTGCATCATAATTACTGTAAACAGGAACCCAAAAGTTGCAGCGTACACATTTTTCCTTTAACCCTAATTGGACATACGAGGTGCTAGTAGAAACAGTGCTGTTGTTTGCAAAACATGTTGTAGGTCACAATAAATAGATTTCCAGGCATTTCAGTGCAGCTCCTACTTCATCACAGCCCACCGAACCCACCCCCCGTTTTAGCTGATGGCTGCTCTGTCTATGTCTTGAGAAAATGTCATGCATGGAGAAATGAACTGTGACTTGGCCCTAAGGAGAGCTACAAAATGAATATCTGCCATGATGTATAACCAGACTAAATGTAACTCTAATAAAGGTACAATAACAAAGGAGCAGCCGCACAAAACCATTCATCTACTCGCTAGGTCACAGAAGAAAGATGCGGAAACTGTGACAGCACTGGTCTTTGAAGTCAATGCTGAGACCTCCAGTGACGCACAATCCATGGTCAACAAGACAACAGCAAAGGCCTAAGAGTACTTAAGTGGCATTCATAAAACATAAATAAATATACTTGCTTCAATCCCAAATATACTTGCCCAGTCCTTCTCCTGGAGGAAATTTGTGCTTGTGGTGACGTTTCTGCAACACCAATATTACGTAATTTATTGCACGTTTCACGACGGTTTCAAAGTTAAATGTCTAGTGAGTGCGCTTAAACGTGCATTCAACACGTGACCGTGACACGTTTTTATAACTTTGCTTCAGGCACGTATTGCGGCATTTTTATTGCGTTGTTCAGGTATGTATTGCGGCGGTTTCGAATTCAAATGCCCAGGAGTGTCGCTAAAAGGTTAATGCTCTATCGTGTTGGAAAATAACAAACCCCGTCCACCAAAACCAACCCTAAATCTACCTGATAGTGTTAGTGTAAAGCAAAAGTGATAAAAAAACATATTCGCTGATTCAACCGTGCAATTATAACTTCTTTCTATGCAGTTAAAGTAGAAGGGCTGCCAAAGTTAACAGGTTCATGTTTGCGATTTAAATATGATTACATATCTTGAACGCAATTAATGCATTTATTCCACTCTTACTTTGTAATCTGTGTGATGTTTAAAGGGGTCATATGATGCGATTTCAATTGTTCCTTTCTCTCCGGCCGGACACGGCATCACAGTATGGTGATGGGCGTAACATTTCCGTCTCACGCTTGAGGTATTCGGCCAATCACAACGCACTGGATAGCTGGCCAATCAGAGCACACCTCGCTTTTCAGACCGATGAGCTTTGTAAAAATCGACGCGTTTCAGAAAGGCGGGGCATAGAGGAGAAACAATAATGTACAGTATGTGGAAAATAATGTGTTTTTTGAACCTCATAAACACATTTCATTACACCAAATACACAAAATAATGTTCTTTTTAACAACGTCATATGACCCCTTTAAAGAGTGAAATTGAGCACCAGCACACACACAAACACTGTTCATCAGAAAACAATGAACAGGGAGGAAAGGCCCATTTCTTTGTACCTTCTTACAGAAAAATGTATTCATGAATGGACACTTACTTAACATTTATGAAATTTCATCAGTGAATAAAACACACTTGTAATTGAAAAGGCCTGCAGTGGACTGCTGCAGGCTAATGGCAAAATTTAGTTGATCTTTTTTACGTAGAAATTAATAATCAATAAGAGAATCCACTACATTTAAAAAACAAAATATATTTATTAATATTTCTTAATGAAGAAAAAAATGATAAAACTTGTATTATAAGGCAGAATAAATACCATTATGCATCGCAGGCTAAACTGAAATTAACTTGAAATTTAATATAAGGTGCATGTGCTCTGTGGCCTTTATAGACGTTAAAGAGTTTCGGTTTGAGTTATCGAAGTGTTATTATGGAATATGAACACGTATTTTAACCGGAAGCAAGGGTTTGAAGATAAAAACATATTTTCTTTTGGCTTCTCCAGATGTTAACTGATGGACTGGAGTGCTGTGGATTACTTGTGGATTATTGTGATGTTTTTATCAGCTGTTTGGACTCTCATTCTGACGGCACCCATTCACTGCAGAGCATCCATTGCTGAGACACTGATGCAATGCTACATTTCTCCAAATCTGATGAACAAACAAACTCATCTAGATCTTGGAGTACATTTTCTGGAAATTTTCATTTTTGGGTCAACTATTCCTTTAAGTTCTGTAGAAGTGTACAGTCATCATACATTCATGCAATTTTTACCATGTTTATTATTTTTATTGGTCACACTTTAGTTTGGGGATCAGTTCTCACTATTAACCACAACTTTTGCCCCAATAAACTCCTAATTTGATGCTTAATAATGTTTAGTAAGGTTGTTAAGTTTATGTATGGGGTAAGATTAAGGGATATAAAATATGCCCATGCAGAATAAAACATTAATATATGCATTATAAGTACTAATAAACAGCCAATATGCTAGTAATATGCATGCTAAAGAGCAACTAGTTAATAATGAGAACGCCAATATGCTAGTAATATGCATGCTAATGAGCAACTAGTTAATAATGAGAACTGGTACCTATGGTGTTACCTTAAAGGGATAGTTCACCCAAAAACGAAAATTTGCTGTTAATTTACTCACTCTCAGGACATCTAAGATGTAAGTGACCTTTTTTCTTCAGCAGAACAGTAAAGAAGATTTGGCAATTCATATAATGCACGTCTATGGCTGCCAGTTTTTGAGTGTCAAAAAAAGAATTAGACAAGACCAAATCAATACCTGCGGCTCCTGACGATACATTAAAGTGTTATGAAGTGAAACGATCGGTCTGTGTAAGAAAATTAACATTATTTAGAACATTATTACCTTTAATCCACAGCCTGGGCAAATGGTTCAGTGCGTTCACGACTGTCTGGAGCGCGGTCTTCCGCTGTCACATGTATGAGCTTCTTTGTGTGTAGAAACTTCGCTTCTCTGGAATTTCTGAGTACAGAACAGTACGCGGAAGTGTAATGTAATTTCATCATCGGAAGAGACACAACAGGTTATGAACGCATAATATGCAGCCAACGAGCTTCCTCTGAGTCATAACAGCGATCGCAGAAGAGAAAACACAGTGCTGGAAGCAGCTCATTCTCATTAGATCGCGTACGTCATTGGAAAATGAATAGACTCGTGTGCAAACTGAGAGAGATGACCAAGAACACATGTGATTTTAGGGGTATTTTCATAACAATAAAGGATTGTTTCGCCTAAAAATATTCTTTACTGTTCTGTTGAAGAAAAAAAGTCACCTACATCTTAGATGTCATGAGAGTGAGTAAATTAACAACAAATGTTCGTTTTTGGGTGAGCTATACCTTTAATAATAATAATAATAATAATAATAATGCAATAATGATTGTAAAAGTTTAACTAGATTGTCATACTTTGGTCTGAGAGAAGAATAAGTGTCGAAAATAAATGATGAAGGCATGATCAAAAGTTTCCAAGACTATTTTAATGTAACCTTTATGTGACCAAAAGAAAAAAAAAAGTTAAAAATAGACCTGTTGAACACTTGTTAGAATGTTATGCTTGAAAATAATCAATATAAAGCAATACCTGTGGCCCCTGACGATACATTAAAGCGTTAAGAAGTGAAACGATCGGTCTGTGTAAGAAAATTAACATTATTTAGAACATTATTACCTTTAATCCACAGCCTGGGCAAATGGTTCAGCGGTCTTCCTCTGTCACATGTATGATGCATGTATGTGTGCATACTACCACTTCAGCTGATGGCTGTTTGTTTACAACAGAGGGAGAGCGAAGACTAACATTAGCATCAAGCTACATAACACAATTTCTGAGATTAATATACATTTTTACTCAAAATTCACCATCGAGTGTCTGAAACACACTATTTATAGCCTTTTTTTAAGCAGCTAATCGCTGCACCTGCTTTGCATTTCTTGTGTAAAAATCCTTTATCGTTATGAAAATACCCCAAATCTCATGAAAATCACATACAAATCGCATACTATCGTAATCATGTGTTTATGAGCTTCTTTGTGTGTAGAAACTTCATTTCTCTGGGATTTCTGAGTACAGAACAGTACGCGGAAGTGTAATGTAATTTCATCATCGGAAGAGACACAACAGGTTATGAACGCATAATATGCAGCCAACGAGCTTCCTCTGAGTCATAACAGCGATCGCAGAAGAGAAAACACAGTGCTGGAAGCAGCTCATTCTCATTAGATCGCGTACGTCATTGGAAAATGAATAGACTCGTGTGCAAACTGAGAGAGATGACCAAGAACACGTGATTTTAGGGGTATTTTCATAACAATAAAGGATTGTTTCACCTAAAAATATTCTTTACTGTTCTGTTGAAGAAAAAAAGTCACCTACATCTTAGATGTCATGAGAGTGAGTAAATTAACAACAAATGTTCGTTTTTGGGTGAGCTATACCTTTAATAATAATAATAATAATAATAATAATGCAATAATGATTGTAAAAGTTTAACTAGATTGTCATACTTTGGTCTGAGAGAAGAATAAGTGTCGAAAATAAATGATGAAGGCATGATCAAAAGTTTCCAAGACTATTTTAATGTAACCTTTATGTGACCAAAAGAAAAAAAAAAGTTAAAAATAGACCTGTTGAACACTTGTTAGAATGTTATGCTTGAAAATAATCAATATTTGTAATCAGGCCTCAAATGAAATCTTTATGAATAAAAAAATGTACAATCAGTGTAATTTGCCCACAACGTTTTCTGGGCGTATTTTGTGATGACTGGTTGACTGTACATTATCTTATGCTGATTTAGCCATGCTTATTAAATATAACTCAAATCATTTCATGTGCAATCCATTTTAAGAAGAAAGTAGCTGCAGAGTGTCCAGGTTGATCTTAAAGTAATATTTTTGTTATACAAAATATATTTTACAAATAGGGAATGCGAATAGCATGTATTTTCCATAGAGGTGACTTACCATAGTGTTTGACTTTTATTTTACTTTTGATGGCCTAATCTGGTTTTACCAGGCCTCTGCATATTACTCAAATTTTCTGCACTGCCGAAGCACAGCACACAGAGCCGGCAGCCGTCAGAAGCAATTCTGGGACTGCATATCTCTGCTGTATAAAGAGGTTTGCTTGTATAGGTGTCTTGTTTTGACTTAGATTCTCCTGCGCTGTGTTTGTGCAAAGTTATGGAGATGATATACCATGTGTGAGTTTAGGGACACTTTTAATTGCACACTAGAAATAGGATTAAAGAAGCTTTGAACCGTCTGGATCAAGCATTTCTATAGAGGCACACATGCACTGCTGGAGACATTCCCCATCTAGATTTGCTTTTCTTTCTTGTTGAATGTGCTAGCTGGCGATTCCATAATATGCATATGAATAAGAATTGGAAGATATATAACTACAGGGCCTTTTGGCACCCCTTTGACACTCAGGGGTGAATGTTTTATCTTTTTTTTTTTTTTTCAATCTTTTTTTAGGCAGACCAGCCCTTATTTAGAGCAGTTCAGACACTATTGAAGTGCATCCCAGCTGCAGGTTATTTTTTTTCTTAATCCTTATTAATTTCCATAATGCTTTCATGGGAGGCAATTTTCAGAATTTTCATTTGTCCTCATGCACGCATGACAAAAACAGCACGACTGTTTTCCAAACTTACAAGTCATGAAATAAGTAAGAGTCAGAGACACTGTTCTAAACACTTTGTGAGCTGCCTAACTGGGCAGCCTTTTTAGGCATTATACTCTAAGCACACAAAGGCTGGGACATAGGAAAACCGTTAAAGACAGACCTGTCTGATTGCATTAATTCATCTTGTTGTTAACATAATTGTGTTTAATCACAGAATGTGTTGTAAAACACTGCATTACCCATGATGCTGTGCAGAACATTCCACCAATCAAAGAATCACAGCGAGCAAAGCTGGCCAAAAGGTTTCAAAATGGTCTTGATACGCTATCAAAATACTTAAATATTTGTATTTATATGCATATTTTGCAATAACATTTAAATACATTGTTTCTATAGAAACAAGCAATAACTTCAAATAAATAATTTTTGTATTTCACCATCATTTTTATTTCAGTTGTGTCATTTTCAATGCTTCAGGGGATTGTAGTTCTTCCTCTTATTAGTTCACAGTCTTGTACCTTTGTCGTTTTGTCCAATTTTCAAATCTTGCTTTAAATAAAAATTAAGTTATGTAATGCTGCTGTGATTTACCACCTTGTTGCAGGTTGGTTTAGTTCACTTTAACCAATCCCTATGAGAAAAAATGAATGGAACACATACCAGAATCAGCGCGACCAAAAAAAGTGGGCAGGTACTAATGCACTCTAATGACTTTTTAACCCATTATTTGGGTGACCATTATGTGCATATGCATTAGTATTAGATTATTGCATTAACTAAGCAACATGCTAACAGCAATGTCTCATATGTGCATTGCAAAGGAAGTTACAGCCATTTAAGAGGCTGCATTTCAGCTAAAAAGCCGTAAAACAGAGTTCAGTATGATGACTAGAATTAGCTGAACAGCATTGCTCTTCCTTCTCCTCATGCACGTTGTTCGCAGCTAGCGGAGCGATTCAAATGCAGTGATGTAAGAGCCCTGACAGGAATGTTAGCAAAAGCTAATTTGCTAAGTCGGGCTCAATGACATAGAAACAATGGAGTTAAGTGGCTTTGAATGGCCCAACCAACCACACAGATGCCATTATTCCCTGCAAAACAATATGATGGCATGTCTGTGTGACGCAATGTGTGTTGAACAGAAAAGAGTGAAGCAGTGAAAGCTGAACCAATCTGGAGCTTAAGGTAATTCATTCACGACTGGACACAATTAATTCATGGATCATCTATACAAACATTTCACGAACAGGTTTCTTGAATGAATTCATTTTTTATGTTTTTGTTACTTTAAAAGAGAAATTTCATGGATCATCTATACAAACATTTCACGAACAGGTTTCTTGAATGAATTCATTTTTTATTTATTTGTTTTGTTTTTTGTTTTTGTTACTTTAAAACAGAAATTGTTAATAATATAAAAGAGGAGATTATGTCATATAGGCTTGAAAGACATGAGGGCAAATAAAATCACTGCATTTTGGTCACACTTTATTTTAAGGTCCAACTAATTGTTAACTATGACTTTTGCCTTAATAAACTCCTAATTTGCTGCTTATTAATAGTTAGTAAGGTAGTTGTTAGTTTAGGTATGGTGTAGATTAAGGGATCTAAAATATGCTCATGCAGAATAAGAGATTAATATGTGCTTTATAAGTACTAATAAACAGCTAATGTGCTAGTAATATGCATGCTAATGAGCAACTAGTTAATAGTGATAACTGGTGCCTAAACTAAAGTGTTACTGAATTTTTGCTTTACTTTCTTATAAATGTAACAACTACACAATTTATTAATGTGCTCTCAAACCCTTGGAGAATAACAACACTTGGCGAAAACCGTTGTATGTTTGTATGTTACGCATATGTGGAGTGTGCTTAACTCACTTTTTAAGGTTAAAGTCTTGTGTGCTGGGTAGAATACAATTGCTTTTTCAAAATGTGGTTCTTTTGATGAAACATCTTGCTCTTTCATAATCTTTTGTAGCTTGGGTGTATACGTGGGAACGCTGTGCTTCCGTTTACTCCTCTCTCTCGTTCTCCTGCTTTGGATCTTTTTCTCTGATCTACTATTCTCTCGCGTTTTGGCCGTCAGTCTGATAACTGGAGGATAACTCGTCCACGAGTGGATTATGCAAGGCCAAGAGAGTTTCTGCCATTTGCCCCGATACAATAAGATGTTTCTCAATCATTTATGGCTGACTACATGGGCTGCTGTTCGTGTTTCTGTCAGTTTCGGCACAGAGAGCACTGGAGCAAACAAAATATCTCATGTTTTGCTTGAATATTTATGATGGCTTTTTTTCTGCAGCCGAGCTCAGAAACGTACTGCCGTATGATTTGACTTGACAATGAGTTTGACCCAAGGCTTGCATGCGCTTATCCTCCGCTCTCTAATAACACAGGTCCAGCTTGGCCTCAAGTCCACAAAAAATAAATAAAATAAATAAAAACATGTGGCACAAACACATCCCTCTGTTGCTAATATATCATATCACGGCATTTCAGAGCTCTTTTCAGATGTTCACAGCTGAACTTGATTTCACTTTTCATCATTTATAAGTCTTCACATCTTAGCACGCCTTGAAAAATGTAACATTTTAAATTATGAATATGCAAGGTTTATAATGGATAAAGTCACTGTAGCTTTTTTTTTTGTAGTTTGCTTTAAATGACTGTTTATAACCTGGCAACGTTGTCATTTTTACAACCATTTAAGATCACGTAAAAGTGTTCATTTCGTCAAATTCAAGAGTTATTTTATATTTTTTCCTAGTATTTATTGTTGTTTTATGTGGCATCTGTCCAGGCAACATCACAGCTGTGAGATAAGCTTCATAAACGTCTTGTTTTTTTTGGGTCACTAACTAATCAACTTTAGTTAGCTGTGCAAGTGTGTGTTCATTTGTGTGGTGGGCTGGGAATTGCAAGATTATGCAGATTGTCATAAACTGAGACAGTAAGCTGCATTATTTATTTTATAGCAAATAAATGACCTTTGATTTTATTAATTAAGGGGGTTGATATAATTTGATTTCAGGTCTGATTATGTTGCATTTTTTCAGTCTTTTAATGCTGATTCACACACACACACACACACACACACACACACGCACACACACACTCTTCGTCTGTGTACTCCGGTTCAGAAAGTATGGTGTGCGCCTATGAAGTGTGAAAATTAAGAAACTGCCTGTAATTGACAATGTAAACTCGTGCTTAATATTTTTTAACTAAATATATAAAGTTATAGTGTACCTACTTCGCCTCTGGTATCAAAAGTGTGTGTGTGTGTATATATATATATATATATATATACATTTGTGTGTCTATAAGACTTGCGGTTTTAAACATGGCTGTAATAGTTATTTTGGTTGACTACACTACTTATATAGTGTATATGCCTGTGTGTGTGTGTGTGTGTGTGTGTGTGTGTGTGTGTGTGGCCGAGATACAACTATTTGAAAATCTGGAATCTGAGGGTGCAAAAAAAATCTAAATATTGAGACAATCGCCTTTAAAGCTGTACGAATGAAGTTCTTAGCAATGCATATTACTAATCAGAAATTAAGTTTTGATATATTTACGGTAGGAGATTTACAAAATATCTTCATGGAACATGATCTTTACTTAATATCCCAATGATTTTTGGCATTAAAGAAAAATCTATAATTTTGACCCGTACAATGTATTTTTGGCTATTGCTACAAATATACCCCAGCGACTTAAGACTGCTTTTGTGCTCCAGGGTCACATTTACTGTAAATATCCTACTCAGGCTCACTTGAAAATCTAAATTTCTGCAAAACTCAAATCGCTGCAGTTTCCAGTTGAAATGAACTCTAGAGGCAGTCAAACTCAGACAACTTTTATTCCTTTTCACACAAAGTATGATTTACAGAGCCAGAGTTTTGATTAAGAAAGCCTAATTTTCGCACAATTCCTTGCACAATATTATGCAATGACTTCAAAATGATTTCAACATGCTGTGAGATTGGAAAACTGATACTTCTGACCATTAGCGTCACATATACAGCTTCATATGTATGGGTTTTCTAACGCAGTAGGTAAGTATTTCCAATGAGCCTGGGTTTCTAATATCTCTTACAAAGGATCTACCAGAGCATCCGGCTCTAGTGGGCAACTACTAATGTCTGGGTTTATCAACCCTCTCATTTTGGCATGGCCAGGCCTCCAGCGGCTGTAAGACGTAACCTTGACCTCAGAATGAAACACACACACACTAAAAACAAGAAACAGAGTGTTCTTATAAGTTATTTACCACAATGTTGTTTGACCACTTGATTTATTCATTGACTGCATTTTCATATTCATGAATTTGTCAACCTAACCCTAACCATTTCCTAAATATTATAGTACAAACACAAACCTAACAAATAAAAGTTCAATTCTAACAATGCATTCCAAAAAAGGCAAAAAGCAGTACCGAAGTAGAGTTGCATTACTCTCTCAGGTCATACAGCAGTTTTGGCTGAGGTACAGAGTAACATTTGTGTTGTTCATCACTAAAAATCTTATCCTGATCTACTTTTGCGAAGGCATGCATTTCTCAAAAGCACATGAAACATGCTTCTTGACTCGGCAGCTGAGGATGTAGATGTAGAATAAGGATTTGAATCTGTTTCTGTCCCTCAATCAATGCACAGAAATCTTGGATTACAGCGCAAGAATAAAATGGATTACGTTTAGGATCATTTTATGGTGCATTTTAGGTCATCTTTTCATGTCACCACATTGCATTTGTAGTGTAATGTTAATGCACTAATTTTCATTTAAAAATTTTTTTTTTACTTTTTTTGGACTTCATCAACATGCAGTAATGCAATTCTTGGTTTAAAGTCTTTTCCCGATCCTCTCCTCTGCTCTTCTCCTGTGTCTTTCCTATCTCCCCTTCTCTGTATTGTCCTGTTAAATGCGATATAGAGATATATAAATATATAAATTATCTTAATAAACCGTATAAGTAATAATATGCATGTGTTTGAGCATCACTTTCATCATACAAAGCCTTGATGGACAAATGTGAATATTACATATAGTAGAGTTTCTAGTACAAAATTAGTTAAGTATGATTAACAGAGGAAATTGTGAGTGGGACTTATTCTGGTTCTAAACCAAAATATAAAAATCTATTAAACTGTATAAAAAGCATTTGATATATCTGGCTAATTGCTATTTTCATCCAGGTTCGTATCCTCGCCTCTCCCTGAGCTTTAAGCTGAAGAGAAACATTGGCTACTTCATTCTGCAGACCTACATGCCCTCCATCCTAATCACCATCCTGTCCTGGGTATCCTTCTGGATCAACTATGATGCCTCGGCTGCCAGGGTTGCTTTAGGTAGGCGCTAATCTAACAAACCTTTCTCACAGCTGGTGACTTTTATTATGTACATATGCATTCACTTCTAATATATGAGTTAAGGCTGCAGTAAGCATGATTTGTTATGGTATTTCAGTTTGAATTCTGCTTTAAACAGTTGTTTATTTGTATATTCATCCATCATGTCGGTATTGGATGCCTAGAGTGGCACTGTCTGTTCTCTTGAGCCGTTCTCCATACTCAGCTGTCAGACACACTGCACTCAGCTAACCCTGTCCACCTAGCGTAGCTTCTCCTGTATCTGCAGTAGAGCATCTGTAATAGCGCAGCAGTCTTCTCTCCTGCTCCTGTAGTTCACTCTCTGATCTGATGACACACAAAAAAACATCTGCAGATATGTCTGACATCTAAGAAAAAAAAAAAAAGAATAATAATACTAAAAACTCTTTACACCAAACGCAAAAGTAAACCATAAAAAAAAATCTGAATTAAAAAAAAAAAAAAAAATACAAATATAATACAAATATTTTACTAAGAAAAAAAAAAAATAATAATAATACTAAAAACTATTTGCACCAAAAGCAAAAGTAAACCATAAAAAAACATTATCCTGTACAAAACCATTATTATAAAAAAAAAAAAAAAAAAAAAACAAAAAACCCTTTACACCAAACGAAAAAGTAAACCAAAAAAAAAAAATCTGTATTTAAAAAAAAAAAATGCAAATATAATACAAATATTTTACTAAGAAAAAAAAAAAAAATAATAATACTAAAAACTCTTTACACCAAACGCAAAAGTAAACCATAAAAAAAAATCTGAATTAAAAAAAAAAAAAAAAATACAAATATAATACAAATATTTTACTAAGAAAAAAAAAAAATAATAATAATACTAAAAACTATTTGCACCAAAAGCAAAAGTAAACCATAAAAAAACATTATCCTGTACAAAACCATTATTATTATTATTATTATTATTATTATTATTATTACATAAAAAATAATTATTAGTGTTAATTTTATCAGCTTTTTATCTTGTGTCAAAAGTCCTATTTATTTATTTATTTATTTATTTATTTGATAATTGTTTTTTTCTCAACCTATCCTGATTGTTTTGTTTAGTCAAGTTTTAGTTGAAATCTGGGAATTTTACTAGTTTTATACAATTAAAACTTAGCCATATGCTGCATAATGGTTCAACTGATAATCACAATTAATTTGCTCAAAATTATAATCATGATTTCTGATCATGATTTCTGTCAATTGTAAAATGTAAGCAGAATTTTTGCACTTTCAGCTATATAATCACAAATAAAGAGAATGCTAACTCATACAAATTTAAGGGGGTCTGAATACTTTCCGTACCCACTGTATTTACTTCATCTACTTTCCTAAATTATTCCCTTATCGAAAGTCAAGAGTGCTGATATTAATTCCAATAATTGCAAATTATATTCATGTTTTTCTAGTATAACACAACACAGAAGACATTGCATTTTGGCACAATGCGTAAGTGCATTTATTCAGCAACCTCAATCGCAAACAGTAAAGTGGAGATCCATGTTTGTATTTATTACAGTTTGTCACAGAAGGTTTAAGCAACCAGCAGTGTAAATGTTTGACTGGCTGTACCGTATTACACTTTCATTTGAGAACTTAGCAACTTAACTAATTTACAACTTATGTTTGTCAATGTTTCCAGCTCATCATTTTCTTTTAAACTACATTTAAGTCTTTAAATGTATTGCATGTTGATATAGTTAGTGTGTATATAAGCAACTGTGCTCAAAATGATTCATTATTGGTTCCACTAGAAATTATTATGAGTAAAATATCTCTGAAGAATACTCCCATTCATATTTGCTTTTTTTTTTTTAGCATACCAGTGTGACTATGAACATGAACCCAGGAATATAAATATGAGGGAACACAAAGGCCAAATTCCCATAATTGTTCATCACAAGGAGTAAAACCAAAGAATATAGTTCTGATGTGCAGCAAAAGATTGTTGAGCTTCACGAATCAGAAAGTGGCTGTAAGAAAAGAGTTGAAGTGTTGGAAATTCCATCAGGACAATCATTGAGAATTTCCAATCAATCAATTTAATTTAACGAATCTGCCTGGAAGAGGACGTGTGTCTATATTGTCTTAAAGCAAGGCGAGGAGGACAGTTTGAGTGGCCAAAGACTCTCACAGGATCACAGCTGGAGAATTGCAGAAAAAGAAGTAAGAAACACTCAATAAATAAATAAATAAATACATAAAAAGATCAAACGGCGCCTACATCACTACATGTTGTTTGGGAGGGTTTCAAGAAAAAATCAAGAAAAGAAACTGCTCTCATCCAGAAACAAACTCGTTTGCCAGACTCTACTGGATCTTCAAACGGGACTGGCTTATATGGTCAGATAAAACTAAAAAATGAGCTTTTTAGCAGCAAACACTCAAAATGGGTTTGGTGCACACAGGGGCAAAAAATACCCTGTGTTTACAATGAAATATACTGCTGTGCCTTTAATGTTGTGAGCCTATTTCTCTGCCGGAGTTCCTGGACGTATTGTTCAGATACAAATCAAATACTAATAATAGATCAAATACCAACAGATAATACATCTAAACCTGACGGCCTCTGTTAGAAAAATCGGTAACACTTTAGAATAGGGGTCCAGAATAATGCATTAGTTAAGCATTAATTAATGGTTAACTTGTTCACAATTAAGCATTAGTTGAGCACAAACACACTAGTAATTTGCCTTTATTAGTACTGTATTAATGGCAGTTAAGCCATAATTATTGGCTAATTCTAGTCAATAAACTTGAATATTAGTACTGTATTAATGCCAGTTTAGCCATAATTATTGGCTTATTATGGTCAATAAACTTGAATATCACTCAATAAGTGCCGTAATTAATGTGGATATAACTTTCACTTTAGAATAGGGGGTCAAATTGCCTTTATTAGTACTGTATTAATGGCAGTTTAGCCATAATTATTGGCTTATTATGGTCAATAAACTTGAATATCACTCAATAAGTGCCGTAATTAATGTGGATATAACTTTCACTTTAGAATAGGGGGTCAAATTGCCTTTATTAGTACTGTATTAATGGCAGTTTAGCCATAATTATTGGCTTATTATGGTCAATAAACTTGAATATCACTCAATAAGTGCCGTAATTAATGTGGATATAACTTTCACTTTAGAATAGGGGGTCAAATTGCCTTTATTAGTACTGTATTAATGGCAGTTTAGCCATAATTATTGGCTTATTATGGTCAATAAACTTGAATATCACTCAATAAGTGCCGTAATTAATGTGGATATAACTTTCACTTTAGAATAGGGGGTCAAATTGCCTTTATTAGTACTGTATTAATGGCAGTTTAGCCATAATTATTGGCTTATTATGGTCAATAAACTTGAATATCACTCAATAAGTGCCGTAATTAATGTGGATATAACTTTCACTTTAGAATAGGGGGTCAAATTGCCTTTATTAGTACTGTATTAATGGCAGTTTAGCCATAATTATTGGCTTATTATGGTCAATAAACTTGAATATCACTCAATAAGTGCCGTAATTAATGTGGATATAACTTTCACTTTAGAATAGGGGGTCAAATTGCCTTTATTAGTACTGTATTAATGGCAGTTAAGCCATAATTATTGGCTAATTCTAGTCAATAAACTTGAATATTAGTACTGTATTAATGGCAGTTTAGCCATAATTATTGGCTTATTATGGTCAATAAACTTGAATATCACTCAATAAGTGCCGTAATTAATGTGGATATAACTTTCACTTTAGAATAGGGGGTCAAATTGCCTTTATTAGTACTGTATTAATGGCAGTTTAGCCATAATTATTGGCTTATTATGGTCAATAAACTTGAATATCACTCAATAAGTGCCATAATTAATGTGGATATAACTTTCACTTTAGAATAGGGGGTCAAATTGCCTTTATTAGTACTGTATTAATGGCAGTTTAGCCATAATTATTGGCTTATTATGGTCAATAAACTTGAATATCACTCAATAAGTGCCGTAATTAATGTGGATATAACTTTCACTTTAGAATAGGGGGTCAAATTGCCTTTATTAGTACTGTATTAATGGCAGTTAAGCCATAATTATTGGCTTATTTAAGCAGTAATTAAATATAATTACTAGCTTATTGTTCAGTCAACTTAATAAATGGTGAATTATAGAAATATATTTACATCACTACACACAAATAATATATGGCTTATTAAGTTGTAAATAATGGCTCAAATGTGTTTACTGTACATTCAGTTAATTATTAATTACTAGCTTATTTTTGTTTATTGATAGCATAAATTTGTGTCTATAAAATGTTTAATAAATTGTAAACAATGGCTAATATACCCTTATTATTTGTTCAGTTAATCATTAATTAAGTGTGTGGTCATGCTTATCTAATGCATTATTGTGAACAAGTTAATCATTAACTACTACTTTATTTATGCTTAACTAATGCATAATCTGAGCTCCCTAAATGGTAAGTTAATCATTAATTACGAGTGTGTTTGTGCTCAACTAATGCTTAATTGTGAACAAGTTAACCATTAATTAATGCTTAACTAATGCATTATTCTGGACCCCTATTCTAAAGTGTTACCGGAAAATCGTATAATGGTCCGTGTCCTTCAGGTCAATGATCCAAAACAAACATCAAAATCAACACAAAAATGAATTACTGAGCTGAACCTTATAGAAAAAGAGTGGAGTGAACTGAAGAGAAGACGCACCAACATGGAGCTGGGAATCTGAAGGATCTGGAGAGATTCTGTCTGAAGGAATGGTCTCTGATCTCTTCTCAGGTATTCTCCAAACTCACTGAGAGACTCAAAGCTGTTATCTTGGCAAAAGGAGGTTGCAAAAAAGTATTGAATAAAAGGGTGATGATTAATTGAATAATTGTGGCCAATGTGTATTAGAGAAACACATTTACGTCATAAAGAGATTCTTATTATCCAATGAAAGGTTCGGTTTTTGTACATTTTAAAAAACATATAAAATCAAAAGGATTAACAATGCAGATTTACTTTCACAGCCTTCTGTACTCATATTTACCAAGGCTATGAATAATTTTGAGCACTACTGTATATATATACTGTATGTATGTGTGTGTGTGTGCGTGTGCGTGTACTATCATTAATAATACATTCTTTAACATTTTTGTATTAATGCAAAAAAAAAGCATTTTCTTTCATTTGCGTTTTTGTACTGATTTGATTTTGTCTTTTTTTTTACACCACACATTCTCTCTCTCTCGCTCTCTCTCTGTGTTTCGTAAGCCTCCACTTTTTTCCCGTCATCACTGATTATGTAAGGCTAATGTAGGCAGCAAGCGTGCAGGCTTCTCAGTGTGAATAACAGGGCACTCTTTGTGATTGCTGTCTGTCCTGGCCTCATTCATCCACACAAGTGCAAACCGCTGTAGCGTTGAACAGAAGGCAGAGCGAGTGTGGATGTATAGGACGAGCAGATATTACTGTTCAAAGCTGATCCTGATTAGAGTCATTAGGCATTTGATTGCAGATGTGCATTTACATGGATAGACCTATAGGCCAGTTTTCCTCTGTGTATTACCACTGTAGAGAGTATCAGCTGCATATCTCTCTGATTTAGCCAATAACACAAGGCCGAGGAGGAGGAGGACGGGATCTGCTGTGCTATTGGTCAAGTTTAATCATGTCTATATTGGTTCCATATGCAAGTTACTCTTTCAGCGCTCAGCAGCCAAGAGAGGTGATGATGGGGAACAGAGAAGGGTGAAATATCCCTAGACAAAGAGCTTTTAGTGGTTTCCCCTTTAGCTATAGTGCTTGTTCTAATGATAAAAACACAATGGAGAATAATAACTCTGCAACTCATAAGCTCTACAATACCTGTCGCAGGATCTTCAATACATTTCATTAAAACTGTCAGAATGACACTGAATGGACATTTCAGTGCATACAAAGACAACTATTTGTTAATCACCGGTTAGTTGAAGGCAGGCTTTGTGTTTCACTGATTAAGGTGCATAACTCCCACTCCGCCAGCTGAAAGCATGACAAATCATACAATTGTAAGATTCTGAATCATCAACAGAAAGAAAAGAATGGCGATAAAGCTGCTTCACACATGCACAAATGTTTTCCTAACTTTCTAAATGAGGACACATTCGGGGTGATCTCGTTTGATATTCACAGAATGAGGTGAGAGCACTTAAACTTACAGTGTACTCATATTTAAATTTGTTGGGATAAAAATATATCACATAATATCAATGCATGGGCAGCTTCACTTAAAAACTTAAAGCCTTTTATGTTTGTATAACTCAAGAGATGGTCATGTATAAAACATTTTAACACATTTCCCCCAATCTATTTAAAACCATGCAATCACTTTTAAAGCTAAGATACGAGTTTACAGAAAAGGGTTACACTTTATTTTGAGGGTCCACTTTAGACATTCTGCTAACTTTAAAATCTCCTTGCAGTCACTAATTTTATCCCTTAAAACTCATCTTTGATAATCAAAATTACACATTTGAATGTTTTTCCCATTAAAATAATTTATGTCTTAAAATGGTTTGAATGTAACTCTACACCCTTACCTCATTTAGTATACGTGGATACATGAATATGCTAATTAGTCCCCGCCTCCACTCAATCACAGCAGCTCCACTTTCACTGTTAACTGAAGTAGTGAACGCTACACGATGGCAAGTGGCAGTATTGGATAAATTATTATCGGAGTGTGAATCCGTGAGTGAATTTATGCAAATTCTAGAAAGTGCGCAAAGAGTGCTGCCCTATTAATCACTGAAAAGCTGTCAATCGTCTTAGTTCATCGCGATCTCATGACGTTGTAATCAATGTTAATGAATCTATTATTTACATCGCGTCAACACTTTGTTTGTTGAAAGGATTCGTGAATGTGCATAACTCGGCACTGAACAAAACTCAGGCGTTTTGAGCGGCCTTGATGGCATTGCATTTTGTCTCAACAGCAATATTAGTTTGATGCATAATAGGTCGCAGATTAGATGAGTTAGCCGTACGGCTTGAGAAGGCCTTAGATTTGTCCTGGCTTCCCTGGCTGTTTTCCAGAAAGTCGTCCTTGAGTGCTGAGTCTTGGAGCTGTTCTGATACGTTCTGAGCTGTTCTTTACGCATAAAAAAAAAAAAACACCAGGCAGACATGTCAACAATGTTAAAAACGTGATTTTCACCACAGTGGGTCTTTATGTAACTTTGCAGCTACAGTACACGACAACTAACTCTCATTAATTTGCACTCTCATTCATTCTCACTCTCTCTCATTAGAGTATTAGTAGACTCTTAAGTTAGGGTTAGTAGAATAAGTTGACGTAGTTGAAAAGTATCAGTAGAATATCTTTTGGTGGACCATTGAAATAAAGTGTGAGAATATATTAAGCAGACAGTCTACTAATAATCTAATGACTGCTAGTTGACATATTTGCAAAGTTACTTATAGTTAGTCGAATGTCTAAATAAAGTGTTAGCCAGAAAAGGTTAGTATTTATGAATCCTTGTTATGGTTGCTCAACTGAACCCACTTCTTGTCATTTGCACCCTTAACAATGAATCCCTGTTGAACGCAGGTATCACCACTGTGCTGACCATGACCACCATCAACACACATTTGCGGGAGACGCTTCCAAAGATCCCGTATGTCAAAGCCATTGACATGTACCTGATGGGCTGTTTCGTCTTCGTCTTCCTGGCTCTGCTGGAGTATGCGCTGGTCAACTACATCTTCTTCGGCAGAGGACCGCAGCGGCAGAAGAGAGCTGCAGAGAAAGCCTCCATAGCCAACAATGAAAAAATGAGAATGGATCCCAACAAAGTATGTTTGAAATCCACACACTACCAACGTTTATAATAGCTGCACAGTAACTTAGAAAGTAATAAAAAGGCAAATTATAAAAATAGTGGTAACACGTTACAAGCGTTTTGTTTTGAATCAGTGCTACCAAGAGAAAAAGAGCTGTGGTGTTCCCTTTTGCCAAAAAGGTAGGAAAACACCTATAATGCACTAGGCTTGATCTGATGGCTGATGAGCAGGGTTACAAAATATTAAAGAAAAAAATAATAATTTACATATACTACTGAAGTTGTAACAGTACAAAGCTGGTTGAAAATATATTTAAATACATTAGTTAATGTAAAGTAACAATGCAAAATTGGGGGAAAAATATTTTTTATTTTAATTTAATTGGTAACACTTTACAATAAGGTTCCATTAGTTAATGTATTACCTAATTAACTAACTTAACTAACTTTAAGTTAAATGTATGAACAATGAACAATACATTTATTACAGTATTTATTCATCTTTGTTGATTTTTGTTAATGAAAATACATTAGTTCACTGTTAGTTCATGGTGCGTTAATGTTAACAAGCACAACTTTCGATTTTAATAATGCATTAGTTAATGTTGAAATTAACATTAACTAAGATGAATAAATGCTGTAGAAGTATTGTTCATTCTTAGTTCATGTTAACTAAAGTAGTTAACTGATGTTAACTAATGAACCTTATTGTAAAGTGTTAACATTTAAGTAAATTGCAAAAGCTGTATCCGTTAATATTATTTAATGGACTTACACTAACCTAAACTAACTATGAATAGTTGTATTATTATTAACTAATGTTAACAACAATTCATAAATACTGTAACAAATGTATTGTCCATTGTTACGGCATTAACTTACAGTACATTAACTAACGGGACCTTGTTTTGTTACCAAAATAGTATATTATTATTCTGAAGTAGCTCTTCAGGTCTTCTCAGAATATTTGCAAACTATTGTGCTTTCTGTGTTAAAGGGTGTTCACAAATACAATGATTAAATCACATTGCATCACTGCTGAATTATATCAAACTGAAGCAATAATCGCTGACGCTCATGTCGCTGGAAATCCCCATCTCTGATTTTAAATCAATGATTTCAGGTGGTTTTGTCACTACAAATCGATGTCAGTGTCAACGCCCTCTACTTGTGAATGGCTGTTTTGATTGTTCTGTCTAGTGCATATTCATATCTTCACTGCAATTTCAATGTCTGACTTGATTGTAACTAACATGAGACTGCCCTATAAAATCTATACATTTAGAGTAGTTTGATTGTTTGACAGTGAAAACCATGGTTCTTCTTTAACACTGTCATTATTTTATGACTTCTGTTTGCAGTCATATTTGGAGGTTCTGTGGCTGTTGCAAACATTAGATATGGGCTTATGTTAGGGTTAAGGTAGTTTGTGATTTTAATATTTACTGTCAGTCAAGCCTTTTGCTTATCTATTTTTTTTTTCAAATAAAGGCACATAAATCTACCACCATTATATCAGTAGATGGCATTTAAGTTGTCGTCTGCAGGTGTTCACATAAATGCAATAACCAGTTGTCATAGTCAGAATAGTCCTGTAGTGTGTGCTCACTCAGCTTTATAACATCAAACTCTCATATTTTGTTGTTTGTACTACTACTTCATGAGGTGACATCAGATCTAAAACATGATTAATATACAGTGGCAAGAATATGTTTGTGAACCCTAAATGCTTTAAAGGGGTCATATGATGCGATTTCAAGTTTTCCTTTCTCTTTGGAGTATTACAAGCTGTTGCTGAATAGATAAGATCCCTAAAGTTGGAAATAATAAAGTCTCAAACCCAAAGAGATATTCTTTATAAAACATCATATGACCCCTTTAACTGGATTTCTGCACTGATTACTCTGAAGTTATAATTATAGACAAACATAATCTGACTTAACCCTCTGGTGCTGCTCTTGTGGCAGTCAAAAATTACTTCATTTTTATTTCAGTAAAATGAATGTACTATATGTTAGTTTGATCATTTTATGTAATATTTTGTATTTTATGGGTTTTATGGTACTAAATTATGTTAATGGAATAGTTATAATTCATTTATTACCTTTTAACCACTTTTTTAGCATAGACCTGAAAATGAAATTTCCAACTTAAACTGTAAATCTTGAATGCTTTGGAGAACAGGCTTAAAGGGATAGTTCAACCACAAATGAAAATTATCCCATGATTTACATCTTAGGTGTATCTGACGTTCCTCTTTCAGACGAACACAATCACAGTTGTATTAAAAATTGTCCTGGCTCTTCCAAACTGTATAATGGCAGTGAATGGTGCACCTGTTTTTGAAGCCTAAACAACTGCATCCATCCATCATAAAACTACTCCACATGGCTCTGGGGTGTTAATAAAGGCCTTCTGAAGTGAAACGATGCATTAGTGTAAGAAAAATATTGATTTTCAAACATTTACACTCAATGGTTTTACCTTGTCAAAAACAGCTCTGTTCAGAGCGAGCCGTTTCGGTGCATGTCTCTTTAAATGCTAATGAGCTCTGCTCACCACGCCCCTCTCCTCCATGAAAGAGGAAAGGTGATTTACAAATAATCATAAAGAAAAAAACAAAAAAACAAAACAGTTGTTTGTGCATTATTAGTTCAGTGAGATTGTGTTTGTCTGTAATTGTGGGTTAAATTAAGATCAGACCACATTTTATGAATAATCGATGTAGAAATCCAAATATTTCAAAGGGTTCACAAACTTATTCTTGCAACTGTGAGATAAATGTGATAGATGCATATAAAACAGCTAAGAAGAAGCAGAAAAACAGCACTCAAGCTTTATAACAGTGTTTTTATTTTATTTATTTATTTTTGGTCCTGGTCTATCATTATTTCAGAAAAAGCTGAGTGCTTATTTCAGGATAGTGCTGGCTTACTATAGTTAGAGGATAAACTAATGTTTAGTTGTTTATATAATTTATATAATTATAACATAGAGACCTAGGGCCCAGATTTTATATTAGGCTTTTTATTATTGGCATTTAGACTTGTTTTCCCCTGGATTTCTGAGTTCCTATTAGAATAGATCTTTCTTTGTTTCTTTCTTTGAATGAAAACCGCTGATATATAATAGCTCAAGTAATAACAGCACTGATAGGACTCTTGGTCTTTTTGTTTGTTGAAATTCTGAAGATGTTTCGCTGGTGCTCAGATGTAGTATACTGTAGCATTCTGAATTTAGGGCAGTGCTTTTCTTTGAGGCATAATCCACAAAATGTCAGCATTGCCTCACACTCTTAAAGAAGCCCAATATGTAAGTTTCACCAGCTTTCTTGAAGTGACTGCTTTGACAGTGATGATTTTGTATGCTTTCAGTGGTTGGTGGGAAATGTAGTTCAGAGAGACGATACTCTGTATGCCAGAATGAAACAGAGGGATATTGACTCCATGCATGACTCCATGTGGGAACCGATCTTTGTGGATGATGCAGCATTAGGACTAGGCGATTCAAAAAATAAGGTACTGAAAAAGTTCATCAAGAGAGTAATGGCAAACAATGCTGCAAATTTATTTGAGACCCAGCCTTTTTTTTTTTTTTTTGCGATTCCTTATTTCCTCTTAAAATAATTGTTGACCCAAGTAGAAAATTCTGTCATCATTTTAACGCTCTCATGTTGTCTAATGACTTTCTTCTTAAGGGAAGGTCGCCAGTGGTCTAGTAGTCACTATTAGTAGACAGAATATTGTTTCTTTTTCTTTTTTTTTTTCTTCTGTGAATTATTCCTTTAAGAGCACAACCTATTTTTTTCCTCAATTGCCATCATCACCTCTCTTTTTCCTCCAAACCACTCTTTTGAAATATTATTATTTTAAATACTATTAAAAAATACTATTGAAAGCACTATTCAGAAAGGAAAAGCCAAACTGTTTTTGAGGGAGATCAATTGAAAATGTACTTTTTTGTTTGTTTGTTAGATTTTTCTACATTTTGGTTCAGCATCTAAGAGAATGCACTATTATTTCTCATGAAAAGGTTATAATTTTGTAGCAATAAATAGCATAAATACCATCATGTGTACCACCATGCATTACCTTACTTTGCTTTACATCTCCATGTGCACCAAGCCATTTCCATCAGACTGTTATTGGCACTTTGTTGGTTTGTCTCAGTATGTGTTAAATACTGTGTTAAAAGTTTAAATAATAATTCTTCAAAAGCAATATTTAAGTGAGCATTTGATTATGTTGTTATATATGTGACTAGTTTTATTTGTATGTATGCTTGTTTTCACCACTGAATAAAAAATAAAAACAAGTTAATTGCAACTTTTTAGCTCACAATTCTGACTTTTTATAATATAAACTCACAACTGTAAGTTATAAAGTCAGAATTGCTAGATATAAACTCACAATTCTGAGAAATAAAGTCAGAAATGTGTGATGTATAAACTCGCAATAGTAAGAAAATAGTCTCTTTTCCCTCAGAATTGAAGTTTATAAATCACATTTGTGAGCTTATATCTCTCAATTCTGAGAAAAGAAGTCATAACTGTGAAAAAAAGGCAGAATTGCAAGATATAAGCTTGCAATGGTGAGAAAAAAAGTCAGAATTGTGAGTTTGTATCATGCAATTCTGAGTCATGTTGTCAGATTGCGCGATATAAAGTTGCAGTTGTGTGTTATAAAGTAGGACTTATGAGGTATAAACTCGCAAATTGTAAGAAATATTTTTTTTCCTCAGAATTGCCCTTTATAACTCACAATTGCAAGTTTATATCTCACAATTTTGATAAAAGAAGTCAGAATTGCAAGAAAAAAGTCAGAATTGCGAGTTTATATCATGAAATTCTGAGAAAAAAGTCTGAATTGTGAGATGTAAACTCACAGTTGTGAAAAAAGTCTGAACTTTTTGATATAAATTGTGTATTATAAAGTCATAATTGTGATACATAAACTTCCAATTATAAGAAAATAGTATTTTTTTTAATTTTTTGCTCAGAATTGGACTTTGTGAGTTTATTTTTCATAATTCTGAGAAAAGAAGTCAGAATTACGAGTTGATATTTTGCAATTCTGACTGTATTTCTCGCAATTGTAAATTGAGTGTATATCATGCAATTCTGAGAAAAAAAGTTGGAATTGTTAGAAAAAAAGTCAGAATTGTGAGATTAAAAAAATCGCACTTACCTTTATTATTATTTTTTTATTCAGTGGTAGAAACAAGCTTCCATATATTGGTTGTGTGGTAACAAAAAATACATAAAAAGCAAACAAAGGAAAGAAAGACATTTAGAAAGCAATCTGTAATTTGTTCTGACTACTGAAATCGTCAACAGTACATAAAAAGTTACAAGAAAAAAGCCTGTTATCAGTGCTAACCTACTGATGGGTCTTTATGTCTTAGATGGACCCCCATGAAAACATCCTTCTCAGTCCTCTGGAAATCAAGAATGAAATGGGCACATCAGAGTTGACCCTGGGTCTGGGTGACCCGCGTGCAACCATGCTGGCCTTCGACAGCACCTCGCTGCAGTATCGCAAACCCGGCCTGGCCAGACACAACTTTGGACGCAATGCGCTGGAACGCCACGTGGCTCAGAAGAAGAGCCGACTACGGCGGCGCACTTCACAGCTTAAAATCACCATCCCTGACTTAACTGACGTCAATTCAATCGACAAGTGGTCGAGAATGATCTTCCCCACCGTGTTTTCCTTCTTCAACGTCGTCTATTGGCTTTATTATATCAACTAACTGAATTCTCGGCCGTCCGAGAAGCGCCACTTATTTTTATGTCAGTATACTCTTCCGTCTGATTTTGCAATACAAGCAGGACTTATGTTGACAAATTCAAATCAGGACTAATTCTCTTTGACCTTGGGTTCACCTTAATTGCTGGCTGACACTGATACTCTAAAGAGGTTAAGAACAAACGGTGCCTGCTCCAAAATTCAATAGATTGAGGGTATTGTTTAGAGTTTGGTTTGCTAGATTTTTATTTTTTTTATGATTTCTTTTAGAGCAAGATGCATCTGTTTTGTTGCCAAGTTATCAGAACAGTTACTGACGCAAATTAGTTATCTTTATACCAACAGAAAAATCTAAGTCTTAAGACGAAAAGTGGACGTTTACAGTTCTTTCCCCTTTTAAACATTTCTAAAAGAGCAGCACTGGATAATTTAATATTTATATAAGTTGTAGTCTTTCTTGTTTTCACAGTCTATTGAGTGAAGAGACGATACGAATAGTTTTAACACAAGGTTGTATTTTCTACTTCTCTACTCACAGATGATAGTTTATTTATCCAAGATAATTTATTATACGCTTTTATGGAACCTCATTTATTTTGATAAAACTTTTACTCTAAATTTTATTCTCACCTTAGCCGGCTTTATATTTCCACTATGCTTGTATTGAGTTTAATTTCGATATCCAGCGTGCCATGGAAATCGAAGGCGTTATTACTAATAACACAAACTCAATTTTCGTTAGTATTCCCATTCATCTTAGCATTTCCATGAGCACTTGAGCTGTAAATGCCACGTGAATGATTGGCATTCAGCAGTAAATCGCAATGCTTATTGGCTGATAGCAGCAGAGGAACATGCACAGTCCCAAGCCTTCGATAAGAAGCGATAATCCTGCGCTGTGACATGAATGGCAGCGGACAAGGGAAAAATAAAGTAAAAAAAAAAAAAACGTGGCATTGGCAAAACATGCTAAATATTTGACATTTCATAAGATTATATGCCTACTTTCGAACAGCCATCAATGGAGAAATATGCCTTTTGTCTATAAAATGATATAGTTACATCTACCAGCATGGGTTAACCGGATGCTGACCAGCCAAACTTTGACTCTCGTGTGTAGCCTCAACCTGTCCTTACTCCGGCCCAAAAACTGACTCATGGTCAAGCACCCTGCACATCACTATTAAGACGCTAAAGGTTCCCAATGGCATCGCTATACAGACAAACTACTGTAGGAACACCATTGCTTTCAATGAGAAACCTTTGATGGGAATTCTATTGTTATGCAATTATATTTTGGTGTATATTTTTATCATTATGACCAGTGTTGGGGAAAGTTACTTTTAAAAGTAATGCATTACAATATTGCGTTACTCCATAAAAAAGTAACTAGTTACGTTACTGTTACTTTTTATGGAAAGCAATGCGTTACGTTACTTTTGCGTTACTTTTTAAATATGGACAGGGCTTGCTTGTTTGTTTTTAAAATAAAAAAGTTATATTTTTGGGAAATATAAAAGTGAATAAGCCTCAGGCTTAAGGGAAAGTAAATTTACATCCGTACAGTAGAATGCAGAAGAAGACATCTCAACACACTTCAGCAATAAAAAAAGCCACACAAATGTTTGTCTAGAGTAATTTGTGCTTATTAGTACGGTTGAACTGGATCATCGAAGGTCAGAAGCAAAGACATTGGTTAATAGAATGGGATTAAATACATAAAGGATATTTGTGTTGTTTAACATTTAATTATTGCAGGTTTG